CGACAGCCGCACACAGTAGTCGTCAGTTGTAATATGAAACTTAATTTAGACGCTATGCTCGACAAGATTTGGGAACATTTGGCACTCATTCAGGTCTACACTAAAAAGAGAGGCCGTAAGTGGTGTCTAGAAAATTATCTGACATTACAATAGTCTGTGAGATAACAAGCATTTCATGCGATATTTTCATGCATTTGTCAGAACCGCCTGATTTCGAAGACGGCCTTATTTTGAGAAGGAGTTCCACTGTAGAGCACGTCTGCCACACAATTCATAGGACTATTGCCGATACCTTTAAATATGCATTGGTTTGGGTAAGCATTTGATAACTCGTATTGACATGAATTGTGATTCACTATTGAATGCAATGATAGGGAACGAGTACTAAATATAGTCCACAAAGGGTTGGTCTGAATCACGTAAGTATTGCTGTTTAGTGACTGATTTGTCAACCAATTAATGATTGCGTCGATCGTTCAGGTCGTCCACCACGAAGATGTCGTCCAAATAATTAAGAAATGATTTTTATATTCATTTTATAATAGAATTATTATAACGAAAATTATTATGAATTATAAACACGTTTTTAATTTAAATAAATGTTCAGATCGTTTCTATTTATAAATAACTCAAAAAAGTTATCATTTATTCGGTAATTATTTACAAAATATAATACAATTGTCGGAAAGTTTCAAACATTTGTTGGACCAAAAAATCTCGCGATTCTTATCGACACATCCGTTACATCCAATCGGTTCTGACTCTCAAACAACAAAAATAGTTACAAAAATATACAGAAAAAACTGTGTATTGAGTTATGACTCGATTATATCATTTAAGTAATAATTCAAATCCATAGATTGGATAAAACTGTTGGAAAGACTAGTTATAATCAGACAAATGTTGCGAACAAACAAATCGCGAATTGAAAAATATTGTAAATATACTGTAATACGAGAGACATACTTAATATCTGTTACGGTATATAAAAAACAGGAATATTTGTTGTAAAATATCAAATGAAACAATAAGTTGCGCTAAAAGAGCATCAAAAGTCAAATCAATATTCAATAGGAAATATTGAAAACAATAACTCAAAAAACGAGTAAAAAAGTCAATATTAGATCTGAATGTTTATAACATAAACTTAAACGTAAAGAATATGTGAATTGATTTAAATTGTATATTAAGCTGAGTATTGGTTTCAGACTTGAATGCCTGTTATATTGATTATTAGCTCTGGTTTTGGTTCGCTTAGCGACGATAGGGTTGCCGTCGAAGACTCGCTAAAGTTCTGGTTATTGAAAGGCGTCGGAGGTTTCAAGAGCTCAGGTGTTATCGACGCCGTCGTCTCCGAACTCGACTTCTCTGACGAAATAGCGGCCAATTTAGTGACGCGGATGTTATCATTGGGCAAATCGGCCACCATTTTGATGGACTCTTCATCCAAGTCGAGCTCAAAGTCGGCCAAGTCTNTTTGATCTAGGTCTTAGCATTCAAATGTTAGAAACACATTTTTGGTAAATTTTAAAAATTCATTACATGATAAAAAGTGCATTTTATTGTCAAACAGAATGACGTTGGAATTTCAAAAATCGCAATAGAAATGACCAAGATACAGGTATATGAAAATTTAGCGAGTTTATAGTAAATTATGAAAAATGAAGTAAAATCCCCATGTAATTTCAATGAGAAATGTTGGCAAAACTTTGAAATCAAATTAATAATTTATCCTGATGAATTTATATGGCAAATACTATACCATTTGATTACGTGATTATCCAGCTACAAATTAGTGAAAACAGATTAAAAATCGGATAATCCATTCAAAAACTATTCAAATATTTCCTTTAATAGATAGAAGCTACCATATACTGTATGTTAAGGTGAGAGCAATGCAGTGGAAGTGAACCCCCAGTCAGTGCACGCATTGATGACAACGATATTTGTATCGCGATATCGATGCTATCGATAGGAGTATAACAGTGTGAATAGAAAATGCAGAGAATGAGTGAAATAGCGACCCAACCATTGGTCGAATCAGTGCTAAGCCCCGCCTTTCCCTTAAAATTCTACTCATTTTCTAGTTTGGCTTCAAATTCGTCACACAACGCATACATTCCCGAGCCATTTGCCCACTCTTTCAGTCCATACAACCGATTATCACTCAATTCAATCACAAATGTCTTCCACACTCAAGAGGAAGAGAAGTGTCGCCGAGGATGACGCTGTCGTGTGTCCGCCAAACAAACCAAAGACCACTCAAAGTGTGATGAAAGCCAAGGCCAGACCCGCGTCGCTCTCACCTCTGATGGATGAGTCGTATCAAAGACACGACAACTTCCACATCCAAGATATCCCTCTTTTTATGGATCAAGAGATGAGATTCACTCGCGATGAGTGGATTAGATTGTTGTGAACAAACTGTTCATTCAATTTGCATATGTTTTGTATATTTATTGCCAAATCATTGTAAATATATTGCTATAAATTGTTTCAAATATTAATAAAAATGTCATTTAAAGCCAATATTTGGTGTATTTATAAATCAATTGCTTAAATATAATCAAATTGAGTGCCATTTGTATGCAAACACTGCAAACTGGCGTCAATTCGCAAAGCATTACGCAATGAATGCATATATTTTGCCACTAATTCACTGAATTGTATGTGTTTTAAGTGCCGTATGTATGGTATGTATGCTATCATGGATTCAATGGTCGTATGAATTGCTATGAAATCTAAACAACACTTACAGTTAACTCACAATTGAGTGAAATATAGCACTGCTTTGAGCGCATTGTCCGCCAATTGTGTGTAAATTGTGCACAAAATAGCACTCATTTCTTGAAACAAACACATTGAATGAATGTTTGTATGTTTGCGTGGATTACGGCTTTAAATGGATGACTGCATGCAATGAAAAGTGGATTAAACGGCAAATAAATGGCAAAAACAATGACTGAAGTGATGAGTGAATTGATGTCATGTAACGAGTGGTGCGTTGAGTGAGTGTTGTGTTCACACGTGTAGTCATTGCAGGCATTCATTCATAGCTTGTGTTTACCACTCATTCACGAAAAAATCCGCTTTTATTGCCATTTGTGGTGACATTCAAGTGAATCGGCAGTTGTGGTGCGAGCAGTGTCTTAAGTGTCTTAAGTGGTCATCACTTCGGGTGACAATAATAATGGGAATTCTCGAGAGAATCGCCGAAATCGAGAGAGAGATCTCTCGCACGCAGAAGAATAAAGGTTTGTCTCACGTGTCCACTGATCTGTTGTGTCACTCATGAGGTTTATGTCCACCGATCGCAGCCACTGAATACCATTTGGGGGTCTTGAAGGCCAAGTTAGCCAGATATAGGGCACAACTGTTGGAACCGACCACCAAATCGTCGGCCAAAGGCGAAGGTTTCGATGTATGTCTTCGCCATCTCTTAACCCCTTTATTATCACTTTAATTGATTTGTCCATCAATTGACTCATTGTATGATTAGGTGATGAAAAGCGGTGACGCGAGGGTCGCCCTCATAGGGTTCCCATCGGTCGGAAAGGTATGTATTTCGGACATATAGTGATGAACTCAATCCCGGACTGATTGATGAACTCATGTCTTGTATCTGATCTCTAGTCGACTCTCTTGAATACAGTGACCGACACTCACAGCGAGTCGGCGTCCTATGAGTTCACGACATTAACGTGTATTCCGGGAGTCATTCACTATAAGGGGGCAAACATTCAGTTACTTGATTTGCCCGGAATTATAGAGGGGGCCGCACATGGTATGTATGGCACGGGTGGTCGACATGCCATTCAGTACTCATTGAGTGTTTGTGTTTATAAATGACAGGTAAGGGTAGGGGTCGACAGGTGATAGCAGTGGCGCGAACCTCCGATTTGGTGATCATTATGTTAGACGCGACCAAAAGCGAAGTCCAGAGATCGCTGTTGGAGAAGGAGTTGGAAACGGTTGGCATTCGGCTCAATAAGAAGCCGCCGAACCTCTACTTTAAGGTTAGCTCTCTATCCGACCTATCATTCGGTGATTATCTGTGACTAATATTGTGGTAATCGTGTGGACCTATTAGGAGAAGAAGACGGGCGGCATATCATTCAACGCCACGTGTCCTCTCACTAAATGCGATGAAAAGTTGGTTCAAATGGTTTTACACGAATACAGTGCGTGTCCTCTGAAGCCCTTAAATGTCTGAAATACTAATGATTTGTATATATCTATAGAGATATTCAACGCCGAGATTCTGTTCCGTGAAGACTGTTCGGCCGATGACTTAATCGATGTGGTGGTCAAGAATAGGGTGTATTTGCCGTGTCTTTACATTTACAATAAGATCGATCAGATCTCGATGGAAGAGGTGGACCGGTTGGCCCGACAGCCGCACACAGTAGTCGTCAGTTGTAATATGAAACTTAATTTAGACGCTATGCTCGACAAGATTTGGGAACATTTGGCACTCATTCAGGTCTACACTAAAAAGAGAGGCCGTAAGTGGTGTCCAGAAAATGATCTCACATTACAATAGTCTGTGAGATAACAAGCATTTCATGCGATATTTTAATGCATTTGTCAGAACCGCCTGATTTCGAAGACGGCCTTATTTTGAGAAGGAGTTCCACTGTAGAGCACGTCTGTCACACAATTCATAGGACTATTGCCGATACCTTTAAGTATGCATTGGTTTGGGTAAGCATTTGATAACTCGTATTGACATGAATTGTGATTCACTATTGAATGCAATCATAGGGAACGAGTACTAAATATAGTCCACAAAGGGTTGGTCTGAATCACGTAAGTATTGCTGTTTAGTGACTGATTTGTCAACCAATTAATGATTGTGTCGATCGTTCAGGTCGTCCACCACGAAGATGTCGTCCAAATAATTAAGAAATGATTTTTATATTCATTTTATAATACAATTATTATAAAGAAAATTATTATCAATTATAAACACGTTTTTAATTTAAATAAATGTTCAGATCGTTTCTATTTATAAATAACTCAAAAAAGTTATCATTTATTCGGTAATTATTTACAAAATATAATACAATTAATTGAATTGTCGGAAAGTTTCAAACATTTGTTGGACCAAAAAATCTCGCGATTCTTATCGACACATCCGTTACATCCAATCGGTTCTGACTCTCAAACAACAAAAATAGTTACAAAAATATACAGAAAAAACTGTGTATTGAGTTATGACTCGATTATATCATTTAAGTAATAATTCAAATCCATAGATTGGATAAAACTGTTGGAAAGACTAGTTATAATCAGACAAATGTTGCGAACAAACAAATCGCGAATTGAAAAATATTGTAAATATACTGTAATACGAGAGACACTTAATATCTGTTACGGTATATAAAAAACAGGAATATTTGTTGTAAAATATCAAATGAAACAATAAGTTGCGCTAAAAGAGCATCAAAAGTCAAATCAATATTCAATAGGAAATATTGAAAACAATAACTCAAAAAACGAGTAAAAAAGTCAATATTAGATCTGAATGTTTATAACATAAACTTAAACGTAAAGAATATGTGAATTGATTTAAATTGTATATTAAGCTGTCATATTGGTTTCAGACTTGAATGCCTGTTATATTGATTATTAGCTCTGGTTTTGGTTCGCTTAGCGACGATAGGGTTGCCGTCGAAGACTCGCTAAAGTTCTGGTTATTGAAAGGCGTCGGAGGTTTCAAGAGCTCAGGTGTTATCGACGCCGTCGTCTCCGAACTCGACTTCTCTGACGAAATAGCGGCCAATTTAGTGACGCGGATGTTATCATTGGGCAAATCGGCCACCATTTTGATGGACTCTTCATCCAAGTCGAGCTCAAAGTCGGCCAAGTCTTGCGATGTGGAAGTGTTACCACTCGACGGAATTCTATGCAATTCCCAGAAGTTTGGTTGCGTTCGCGTAGACGTCGACTTCGATGACGAGACGGGAATAATACAACTCAGGTTTGGCATCGATTGGGCGCTATTCAGCCGATTGTCCTTCTCTTTGGCGCACCCATTGATGGCATGTCTTTGCGCCACATTATTGCTACTCTTCTCTGTCAGTGGACTCGACTGAGTGTTTGGCGTTTGGATAACGAGTGTTGACTTGTAATCAGTCGGAGGATCGACGGGAAAACTGGTCACAGAGAAGGAGCCCTCGTCTGTGTTGTTATACGTCGACAACTCTGAGGTGATCTCTGATGTGATGTTTGATGTGGAGGTAGGCGTCGATGAACTGGTCAACGATTTTTGATCGAATATCTGTGTTCTGTAGACGTTTTGTATGCTTTCGAGTTTCGATTTGTTGGACTCGAGCTCTGAATCCGTGAAACCCGTGTTTTTCGGAGAATTCATGGGAAATATGATCGGAATATTCGACAGAGACTTGAATGGATTGATTGGCTGCAACTGATCCGCGCGTTTCATTGACGGCATTGTATTGAAGCTTAAATTCGACTTCTTGTGACCACTGCTCTGCTTCTCGAAGACATTCATCTCATTGTTTTGTTGGTCTTCATTATAGGGAACGTGTATTTCCACAATACAGGAGCCCTTTGTTTCTGGCGCTAACAGAGAGTCATTGCCTTCAATGGTTAGTCTTATGCCTTGCGATGAAAAGGCATTACAACGAAGACGTCTCTCCGACAGAGGAGTACTCATCTTAGAGGCGGGCGTCACGTCCGACGAGTGAACACTTGATTGTCTACAGTGTTGGGCACCAGACGAGTGGTTCATATTATTGCAGATCGTGTTAATACGGTTGAGAGACTGGGGCTGAGAGCAAGTGTAGGGCGGGGGCGGACCCCATATGGCAAACATATTGGCCGAGTTGTTCACGACGTGACCCCCGTTGAAGGCGGGATCCATTGACATGTGTTGAGCGTTCATGTGTTGGAATATACCGTCATTAGAGCGGGTCCTCCGATGAGCCGAACTCATGGCTCTCATTATGGTTGGCCTCAAGTGGTTGTCCCGATATCTCAGCAAATGTTGCGGTAGTGGTGAGAGACCGCTGGAACCGATGCGCGGAATGAAGACATGCGGCGGCAGAAAGTTATGGCCCGTCGGGTGTCGCCACAGATTTTGTGTTGAATTCCTATCATTAGTGTCTCTGTTGTTATGGTTTCTGCGAAAGAGCCCAAAGAATCCCCGATTTGTGTTCTGATTGGACACGTGATTAGCCGACGACCAGATCTGATTCCGGGGCCAATTCAACCAATTGGTCCACGAATTGGAGCGATTCGTCATAATTCCAACGTTTGATTGCATGTCTTCCTCGAAGTTGCGATTATGGGAACGACTGTCCAAATAGTCGTACGAATGCGGCGGAAGACACCAACCATTTGGAGAGTTGTCTTCGCTGTAAGAATTGTACGGCAAATGCCTTAACGAGTGGTTCCGGCTTTGGGCCAAAATTAGTGGCGAAACGTGTGACGAGACGTATGAGGGATGCGATGACCCGAAGCCTCGGCACTGGATCTGAAATCTTCGCCTCAGTTCCAGTTGTTGTAAATATTTCTTCTTCTTCTGATGGCTCAACAACTGGTAGACAAGCATTAGAGAGAAAATGCAGATCAGGATCGCGAACACCGATAGACCGAACAGTCCTCTCAGACACGAGAAGAGTAAGCCGTGGACTACATTGCAGTCCGTCGTGTCTTCAAATATCATGTGATGACCAACTGTTCCCATAAATGAGTCAATCATTAAATGCTATTCAAAATGCAATAATTATTGTCAAACAAACCATTGGTCTCTCCGTTGGGAACGGGAGGTGTAATACAGGTACAGGTCCTGTAGTTTGTATTATAAATGCATTGCGAATGCGTTTGCAATCGATTCATATGGATGACAGTTGTGGTGACAGTGACCACAACACTCAAGAGGGCGCAGATTAAATACATGACACCAATTGCTTTCATCTGTCAATCGGGACATCAATAATGATAATATGGGATCAATTGAGACAAACAATACTTCGGTGATGACTACATACCAGGAAAGCAAACCTTAATCTGCTTTTTGCAAAACATATTACGAGTAAACCATTGAGTATGAGCTGCCATTGAAAGATAATTGTCATGAATAGGTCTGTTAGTGAGACAATGTGTCAATTCATACCAAAATGGCGACAATATATGTGGGAATTGTCTCAAAGTATTGAAGCGAAGAAGTGTTTGAGCGGATGAGTGCATAGATTAAGACAATGAGAGACCCGACGAGAGTGGAAACGGTGCCACAGATCACACACAAGACTATGTATTTGTGGTCCCAAGAGATTGACGTTATGTTACAGCAGTTGGTCACTGGTCTCGACTCCCGATTGGTCGACATCTCCAGCGATCACTCAATTCATACCAAATCACACCATAAGACACAACAACTGATGACAATCGCACGTATTGTCCATCACTTGGTTGCAGATGCAGTCAATCAAATGAATGCATCGATTGGTTCCGATTCAGTGAACAATTGTCTCCACTCTTAACACCACTTAACAAATGAATTAATCATTGATTTGTGAAAAAATGACAACAAATTCACAATTGATTTCAATTTCTGGAGACTTAATGACCAAATCTAGTGAAAGACGTTCACAACCTCTCAACACATATAGAGTGACGGCTATTCAGGTTCACAACACCACTCAGTCACCACTGGTTAGTCTATTGGGTTACCCTCTCGGGGCACACTTCGCACGCGTTTAAACGTAACGCTGTATACGAGCGTCGAGTATATGGTGTCCTATATTCTGTGTCCCATATATTTCTTAAGACATGAATTCACAGCTAATGTATAGCCGGAGGACAGAGACTCGAGATTACGAGTCTATTAGACACACATTTAATGCCATTAATTATTATACAATTATTTTCACTTTATTTTTAACCGACTCTTCGCATACAATCCCAAAGAGTTTTTGAGTGTTTTTTTCTTTTCTCAAAAACTTTTCTTAGCGTCAAAATCAAGTCTCGCAATAATTGTGCGCTTTTTCCACCGATAGACGAGTGTGTTGTGTGCGGTTGAGAGGGGCTAATCGACTGCCCTCCCGGTGCTACCTATAGTTAGCTCGCAAACACTGGCAAAGCCTGAGGCGCTGGGAATTCTTCTCGCGTATAGTATTTCAAGAATTTCCTCTTTTTTACAGTCAATTAATGGCACAAAAGATTCCGTTTTTTATGTCGACTACTATTTACAGAATAAATGTTTTTTTGCATTAATTATTGACTCGAAAACTCTTACTTTCTGTTCACTCAAAAGTCCTATTTATACGATAAGTCTTCTGAACAGCGATTTTAAATAGCATTTTAATCCTAATATGGATTTGAAATTTTATGGAAACATTTTAGGGCTTCTTAAGCCCTCACTTATACTGCAAACTACTTGTTTTCAAAGTGTTTTTAGACTTTTTTCGTATTATATAATTTTATTTTTTCTCAAATGGCACTGTTGTTGAGGTTTTTGTGAGCATTTCATGTTTCAAAATGAATGTTATTCTACGCTCTGTATAGAGTTTTAACACCATTTTCAAAGTAAATAAGATTTAGTTTCGCATTTATTAAAGAAACCTTAAACTCTGTGTTAAGTAATGCATTAAAAGCTATGAAATTTATTCAATTTTACTCAATAGAGTCAGCACTTGTGAAACACTCGACAACTTTTGTTACAAAACTTAATTTTTTCATGTAATTTATTTGATTTTCAATGAAATATCAAATATTTGTTAAATATGTTTATTCAAGAAATTAAATAACAAACCGACTATTTTTTTCAATTTGCAATTGACCTTGCCGTAATTGGCAACCAATTACTGTGTATACGATTGTGCTCCCGGAGCTGACTATATTCTAACTACTGATGCATTTAAGATACACATCAATTGCTTTTCTCTTATGTCTTTCAACTTTTGGTTCAAATTATTTTCCATTTCTATAAAACTTTCAAACATTTTCTCTACCATTACGTGAAAAGCTTGTAACGAGTGCTACATTACATGTAAAGCGAATTTTAATTACATTTAAATTGACATGAATTGCAGATTGAAAAAAATAGTCGGTTTGTTATTTAATTTCTTGAATAAACATATTTAACAAATATTTGATATTTCATTGAAAATCAAATAAATTACATGAAAAAATTAAGTTTTGTAACAAAAGTTGAAAGACATAAGAGAAAAGCAATTGATGTGTATCTTAAATGCATCAGTAGTTAGAATATAGTCAGCTCCGGGAGCACAATCGTATACACAGTAATTGGTTGCCAATTACGGCAAGGTCAGTTTGTGTGCTCTATCACCAACTATTTGCCAAATAATGATTTAGTACTCGACTAAAGCACTGCTTATTACTATATTTGTCTTGACTTTCATAATCCAGTGCTTTAATGATTGATTTGTTTCATGATTCTCATCAATATTTGTCTTATATTCCTATAATAAGATCCTAATATGACTTGTATTACAATAATTGTATAGAATTTTCATTTATATTATAGATTCTGGCGATCAGGTAATCATTTTATGTGGTAGGGTGGGTCAGGGGCTTTTAATACTTGTAATAAAAGCAGTTTATTGCTAAATAAGCACAGGGAGGCCTCTGTTAAGGACCATTCAAACAACTAATTAAACTTTTATTTTTCATTAAATCATAAATAACTAAATTTGAAAATTAACTTTTAGTTTAATGTTAGAATATTTAGAATTTAAAAAGTTTTTAATTAATTAGATTTTTAATTTTAAAATATGACATAAATTCCTAAGTTATATGATTACAGATAACAGTATAGCACGGATATAATAGCACACAGAGACCGGACCTGTTGTGGTGACAATTATCCATTATCTGACCATTTGATGGCCAAATCTTTTTCAAAAGTCCTAAACTTCTTTGTCGACCACGAGTTGTATACTTCTGAAGTGAATATACTCTACAACTACAAGTTGTTGATATAAAACTCACTCAAAGCGGGTAACATGTAGTATTAACTATATTATCAATTGTAATTGGTCATCATAATAATTACCAAGTTTAAATCGATGATCTATCTGCTAATTGTTCGGGTAAATCAAGCCCCCGAACCCCACCCTATGTGCCCCACAAAAGGTGTACGTAATTTGTGTGCATCTGATTCGCGGACAAAGGATTGATCGGGCATTGAATGAATGGGAAAACGCATTGAGTGTCAGTCTCTGCATTGCATTGAATGCAGTGAATGAGTGCCTGAATAGCTAATGCCATAGATTTCCACATCCCATACAAAATGGCATTCATTTGGCAGTGAAAGCAATGCATTGAATGAATGACTCATTGCTGCCAATGATTAACGCATTTGAGACTCAATTAACGGCAAAAACTCGATTCAAATTGATTTGATTTGAAACTCATTTCATTTCTTAGACTTATTGTCCACATGTGAGACACGTCCATAGGGTGGCACACATTGTGTGTATATATTATGTATAGATTCGTATAAATAGTGTCCATTCGGTGGCCCAAAACCCCCGCAAACCCCCGCCCGAGATGTCCGACAATTACTTAACGAATCACTTGTCCGGCGAACTCAAGCGTCTTCGGGAGTCGTATTTGGATCACATCCTCGAGCTGTACCTCTTGGAGACCAACGGCAATCTGATCGACTTCTACGGCTTCCGGAAGCGCTTGACGGCCAACGAGTTGATCCAATACTTGCGAACCACATCTCAGCACCAGAACAAACCCCTTCCCGAAGACGAGATCTCGGAACTGATTGGACTCAAGTCGTCGCTCGATGTCTCCCATCAGAAACAGTCGGACAGTACCGTCGCTGTCGGCGCCGACCACTCATTGCCGTCGACGCCCACCACCGCTGCCGGCGCTCATGGCTTCGCCATTGAACACCACATGCCCTCCGGGTTGCCGCCCACGCCATCCACACCACTGTCGGGCTCACAATCGGCTGATCCAACGACGCTCTCTTCGCCTACGTTACCGAAAACGAGTCAAACGTTGACGACAGCGATGATACCGTCGACGCCATCGGCTGTACCCACGCCTTCCAATAGGACGGCTGGCAATCAGTTGATTCCGGGATCCCCTCGACCGCCAAACACGCGAAATACGACACTCGCGTCGACCATCTCTGCCATCTATGACACGTCGATCGGAACGCAGGACCAGATCGTAGAGAAGGCGCGACAGGAGGCGTATGTCGTCCAACGCGTGGCTGAGCTCCGGAAGAACGGCTTGTGGTCGGGCCGTCGACTGCCCAAAGTTCAGGAGCCGATGCGCCGCAAAACTCATTGGGATTACCTCTTAGAGGAGATGCAATGGTTGGCCACGGATTTCGCGCAGGAGAGGAAGTGGAAGAAGGCTGCGGCCAAAAAGTGCGCCAAAATGGTTGTCAAATACCATTCGGACAAACAGTGTTTCGCCGAAAGAGCCGAACGCGAAGAGCTCTTAAGGATGAAGAAAATCGCGTCAAATATCGCAAAACAGGTGAAAACGTTTTGGTCGGACGTCGAAAAGGTATTTGAAGCGAAACAAGAGGTGCGGCTGAAGGAGAAGCGCAAGAAATTACATGATATGCACCTCAACTTCATTGTCGATAAGGCCGACAGATATACGGAACGATTGACGCAAGAGTTGGGCAAAACTCTGTCCACAACCAGTGATAGTGTGACCGAAGAAGCCGTTGAAGACAATGAGTTCCAACCGGAAAACAGTGAGTCCGACGACGAAGAGACCATCGCTAAGGAGGAGGAAGAGGTTGGCGTCGGAGACGGCGTCTCAGAGATAGAGTTATTACAAAAAGAGAGTGAAATACCTCTCGAAGATCTGTTACCAAAGGAGATAATGGATGGTTCGGTGGACGAGTCGGTCGTTGAGTTCGGCGATCGCGAAGATCTCGAGTTTAAAGTGTCGGACGAAGAGCTCGTTGAAGACGAAGAGGACACCATTGAAGAGGAGGAGAAGATTGAAGGAAAGGTCGACCACTCGTCAGAACTTAAAGATCTCGACGAAGACATGAATATTCCCATCGAAGAACTGTTGGCCAAAATGTACGGTTCGGCCGATAAGAGTGAGTTAGACAGCGATGACGACATGGAGTGCGATGACGAGGAAAGCGAAGTCGGAGACAACACCACTGAATGCGAGGAAGAGATGTCCGATGAGGACATGTCAACGGAAGAAGAGGCCGGAGAGATAGGAATGGAGTTTCTCATCAATCCTGACGCCAACGAAGCGATTAATAAGCCTTTAATTGAGGTGAGATTTACTATCAATTGGACGGTTAGAGTCGAGTGAATCCTATCAGTAAAATAACAAAAGCTTTCACTTTCACAATAGTCTGTAAATTGAGAGTTAATTTAAATATTTGATAAATTAATAGTATATTCTATAGCATTAGTATGAAATAGTTTGCAAAATTGAATGCATTTTGTTTTGTTATTTTGCTGACAACCCCTTCCCAACGCATCACAAATGACTGAACAGTTTGTTTGTGAAACTTCATAAAAAGGGGAAAATTGAAAATATCTGCTCTAAAAACACCGCAAATATTGTCGATTAGTGTAATTGCGAGACCTGAGGGCTGAGACATGTATTCTCTATATTATAGGAAATCAGTGACGACAAGAGTGCCAAACCGACTGTCGGTCCCAATCGCGAGATCACAGATATCGCCGCCGGTGCTGAGAGTCTTCAACCCAAAGGCTACAACTTATCGACAGTGAAAGTGTGCACAAAAGTGCCGTTTTTGCTCAAACACGAGCTCCGGGAGTATCAGCACATAGGTCTTGACTGGTTGGCCGCCATGCAGGACAAGAAACTCAATGGTATTCTCGCCGATGAGATGGGTTTGGGAAAGACTATTCAGACGATCGCACTGATCGGACACCTGGCCTGTGAAAAGGGCATTTGGGGCCCACATCTCATTGTGGTACCCACCAGTGTTATGCTTAACTGGGAAATGGAGTTCAAGAAGTGGTGTCCAGCGCTCAAAATATTGACATATTATGGAAGTCCTAAAGAGAGAAAACTTAAACGACAGGTAAGACTGGAATTGATTTTAATGTTTGAAATTCTTGTGTAAAACTAAAACTTGTCAAAAGCGAGTCTTAGAGTCACTCTTCGGACAGAATAGTGTCGATAGAGTGCTAAAGATCTCGAAAATTAAGTTATCCTTTGATTTATGCGCCTCTGGTTTGTTGTCATATGACTAGAGGTCACTGATAATGGTTTACAAATGTATTAATTGAATGCATGATTGAATTGAAGGGTTGGACGAAACCGAATCAGTTCCACGTGTGTATCACATCATACAAACTGGTAATCCAAGACCACGCGTCCTTCCGGCGCAAGAAGTGGAAGTACTTGATCTTAGATGAGGCCCAACACATCAAGAACTTCAAGTCCCAGAGATGGCAAATGCTTCTCAATTTCAACACATCCCGCAGACTACTGCTGACGGGAACGCCTCTGCAGAACAATCTGATGGAGTTGTGGTCACTGATGCACTTCCTGATGCCCAACGTATTCCAATCGCACAAAGAATTCAAAGACTGGTTCGTGAATCCGGTCACCGGAATGGTTGAGGGCAACAGTGAGTACAACGAGGGTCTCATCAGACGTCTGCACAAAGTTCTGCGACCTTTCCTATTGAGGCGATTGAAATGTGATGTCGAGAAGCAATTGCCCAAAAAGTACGAACACGTGGTTATGTGTCGGCTCTCCAAAAGGCAGCGCTTCCTATACGAAGAGTTTATGTCTCAGAGGAAAACCAAAGAGACGCTTATGTCTGGAAACTTCTTGAGTGTTATCAATATTCTGATGCAATTGCGCAAAGTCTGTAATCACCCGAATCTGTTCGACCCGCGGCCCACTGTCTCGCCATTCATGGCTGAGCCGCTCACATACGAAACCGCGTCTCTCGTCACCACAGCCTTAGACTACGACCCCTTCAGTCACGTGAACCTGCGTTCACTGAATTTGGTGTTGTCTGACCTGTCGTTCACGTTGAGTGCGTTCGCTCACCACAGGATCGTTCGGTTCATGTCGTCCCCCGAACTCATCCAAGAGATCGACTCGACGCCCGAACCCCCGCCCCCTTGTCCGCGCGGCAAAATACGGCTTCAAATCAGAACCTCTACAATGCATTCCGCGAACCCGTCCTCATCACAAGCCTCCTCGCCCTCAACGCCCGCCAATCGAAACACTGAACAAAAGTTTTTAATGACATCCACTTCATCCAAGTCCACCACCACTACTACCTCATCCACTGATGGTTTGTTGTGTTATTGTTGTTGTTTTACGTTTATTATAATTGCATTCACACTCTCAGGCAATCGAGTTGCCATTCCATTGGGCCGTTTGGTGCAAACGCCTACCGGTCCTCACATTCTGTTGAGAACATCGACCGGAACTCCCATCTCATCCACTATTCCTCAGTCCATGGTTTCCAAACAGAGTCCTATGAGACAAATCATTGTGCGCGCCGTCTCTCCCAATGTTGTCGGTATGTGTTGACCCTATTGTTTGATTTAATATTTTGGTGACAATATTAGCGTATTTCCAATTTGTTAATCCGAGTATCAATTGAGACATAACCCATACTGTTGTCAATGAATTTTCCACATTATAGACAGTTTCCAGTGTCTCACAGAATAAATAACTGATCCATCCATTTGATGTATTCATAACTAATATATCGAATCAGCTAATGTCAGTCACACTTACCATTCATTGCTATTATAACAGGTGTTGCCAACAGTCAAGACTCAGTCAACCCTCTAAGCCGATCGGCGTCCTCTTCATTCCGAAAGCAGTCATTAGTATCCAAACAGTCGGCCGAACGTAAAGAAAAGCTAAGCTTTTTGTCGCGTCTTAATCAACGCAAGTGTTGCGCCACTGCTTTGTACGCCTCCGACCTGATAGAGGTCTCGACCATCAATGACAGCTACAAATACCTGACGAATACCGTTCCCTTCGGCTCTAACGTGTTTAACATAGGGAACGGATATTTACATACATTATTAGCGCCCAATACTAGTGAACACCGAAAACACTTTTGGAAGTTTACGGACGCTTTGAGTGACTTAATCAAAACGCCCGACAAAATAGTCGAAGATCTGAAGGAAATGTTGACCCGCTTTATATGTATAGTTCCGCGCGTGATGTCGGCGCCCATACGACTGCACGCCTCCCATATGCCCCCCTCTAAGAAGGCTCACATCGAAGCCTTGAGTTCTCGACTGAGTCGTCATTTGTTGGACCGGTTGGACGTCTTGCAGATACCGTACTCTCAAATGCGGACCCAATTCCCAGAACTGCGACTCATTCAATACGATTGCGGAAAACTGCAGATTTTGAACGATCTGTTGTGGAGGTTGAAGACGGGTAGCCATCGAGTGTTGATATTCACGCAAATGTCGCGAATGCTGGACATATTCGAGCAGTTCCTCAACCACAACGGGCACACATACCTGCGTCTGGACGGCACCACCAAAATAGAGCAAAGACAGGCCCTTATGGAGCGGTTCAACGCAGACAAACGCATCTTCTGTTTCATTCTGTCGACCCGTTCGGGGGGTATAGGAGTGAACCTCACGGGTGCAGACACTGTGATATTCTACGACAGCGACTGGAACCCAACGATGGACGCACAGGCGCAGGACAGGTGCCATCGTATCGGTCAGACCAGAGATGTGCACATCTATAGACTCATTAGTGAAATGACGATCGAAGAGAACATCCTGAAGAAGGCGCAGCAGAAGAAACTGTTGGGCAGTGTCGCCATCGAAGGCGGCAATTTCACGACAGCCTTCTTCAAGCAGAACGCCATTCAAGAGCTCTTTGGCATCGATTTGCCTTCCATTGAGTGCCCGACAGAGACTGTGGCGCCCATTGCTGCTGCTGTAGAGGAACTGTCGCCCGATATACTCGACTCACAACTGGAACTGGCTTTGGGTACTGTCGAGGAGGCCAACGACGTGGCCGCTGCCAAAACAGCCGGCGCTGAAGCGGAAGCTGAGTTCGCAGAGTTTGACGAAAACATTCCGATCGACACCGAAAACAAAGAGGAGGAGAAAAGTCCTGAAGAAGAGAGAATCGATGAGATCATTGGACAGGTATTTAGTGGTTTCATACTTGTTATACACTTTTCATAACATTTGACATTATAGTTGAGATAATCAAACATAGTTTTAGTAATAAAGCGAGTCTTAGAGTCACTCTTCGGACAGAATAGTGTCGATAGAGTGCTAAAGATCTCGAAAATTAAGTTATCCTTTGATTTATGCGCCTCTGGTTTGTTATGTTATATGACTAGAGGTCACTGATAATGGTTTACAAATGTATTTAAATAGATTTTAATTTAATTAAAATGTTGTGTTTGTAATTAATTAATGGAATGCATATTAACTGATTGTGTGATTGTATTATAGATGACATCTGTAGAGAAGTATGCGATGAAGTTGTTAGGAGTACTTCAGGAGTCGGTTTCCTTTGAACAGCTCAAACAGGCGGAGGTTTGCATTGAAATGACTATTGTTTTGGTAGTGAATTGTATGTGAAATGTGTTGTGATTTGTGTCTATAGGAGGAGATCGAAGCGCACAAACAGGAGTGGGAGTTGAGACGCATTGAGGCCGAGAAGGATGAGGAACGTCGGCGACAGGAGGCCATGGAGGTGGACAGGGAGCCTATACTGACGTGCCATAGAGAGGACGCCTACAATCAGGTCAATAAACGGTCCAAAACTGACACAAAGCTAATTGTTAACAATAATCGCCAGAATTGTGTTAAATCTGAACATAAAAGGGCTAATAGTAGAGCCAATAATAATGCTTTGAATACCAATCATAATCGGAAAGTAAATTCCAGTTTAAACCAAAATGACAGTAAAGTTAAGGCTATGAGTAATGATGTAAACCGACGGCAGCAACAGGTTAGGCGTTCCCCGCGCTCTCCTGTCGTTGCAGTCAACAGATTACCAAAAAGTAAATCAATTGCTAATAATAGTAATAATAATCACATGAATAGTAGTAATCATATAAAGCGCTCCAACACTAGAGTTGTTACTCAACCCATAGAGAACGGCAACCAAACGATAGGCGCGAACCCGGCATCAAATGCTGTCCGCCGGAGCCGTTAACTCGTATTTTCTTATAGTTAATGATATATTGTTTGTTGGTTTGTCTCAACATTATGTGATTAATATTGGAATTAATTTTATATAATATTTTGTGATCACATACTAAGAGTCGGTTCCAAATGTTAGTCACTTCTTGTAAAGTATTTGTTATAATTTATTTGATTTTCTTTATGCTTGTTATGTATAAAAACTATTACATTATTTAATGAGTAAATTATTAAATAATAATAATAATGATTACAACAACAAAAAAGTCTCATTTCTTTTGTGCGTAAATTTATTTGAATTAAAAGCACTTTCGATCGCATATCAGGTTTTGGTGTCTTTTGATTATATATTGGTTAACCATTCGCAACACTTTTGTTATGAATTACTCACAATTATATGATATATCACTAATGGAAAGAATAGTTGCGTTTATTTTGTGAGTCGTTTTGCAGAAAATCATTTCTTTTGGTGGTTGTTATGAATAGCTGTGTTGTTGAGGCCTTTCCTACTGTCTGTCGGCACCAAAACTTATTGAATATGTGGTTCGAGTGACCGACTCTTACCCCCCGATCCGACAAACCGTTTGAATAGCCTTTTGTCTTATTTGTTGTGTGCTTTCAATTAAATTAAAACCGAAAGAAATGAGATTTTTTGCAATTCTGGCGATCAATGCATTGATTTGATGTTCATATGAAATATGAATCAAATACTGAATATTCGTAACTATTCTCTCTATAGGTCTACATATCATATAATGGTTTCGAGCAAATGCCGGTAAGTGTCTCGCAGTCTCTCCCAGTCACTCAATGGCCAAGTAGTATGTCTCACTGTTCTCAATGTTGTGTATGGCCACAGATATGGGCGCCCCCGACACCACCGCAAGATGAGAACGACCTCTACATCGACTACTCCCTCGGCTTTCTATACGAACAAAACCCAATGCCTGAGTCACAGTTACCGCCCATATATGTGCCCAAAGAGTCTAATAAGAGACTCAAATTGGACACTACTATCGGTAAGTACAGCTATGCGCCGACACACCACTCATTGGCCTCACGTTCAACGCCTGCATATCTTACAGCCCGCAAGCAAAAGGCTCGCAAAGAGGAGGGATTCAATATCCCGCGCTCTGTGTTCGACAGGCCGTCCACTGCTATCATTAAGATCCGTAGGGAACTCATACTCCAGAAACTTAAGATAGTGGTCGTGACCGGACCCGAGAATGCGGCCATTCATAGGACTCTGAGTTCGCTGCACCCGAGTGTTGCTCTGCCTCCGAGCGGACCCATCCCGGCGCCCGTCCATAAGGCGGCACAAGTATTCAGTGGTCCCCTACAGGACTCGATACCCAAGTGGGCTGTTCACGAGGACTGGGCTGTGCTGCAGGTCTTGCAGTACTTCCAGGACTTGCCATTGAATTTGGTGGTGATATCGCCCGGCCATCAGCCCAATTGGGATCTGGTGTCGGATGTGGTGAATCTCATTAGTTGTAACTATCGGTCTCCCAAACTGTGTCGCTATCACTACGAAGTAGCCATTGTTCCCCGAGAAGAGGGCAAACCCGTCACCGACACCTCCACTCCTAAACCAAAGCAAAAGAAACTGAAAGGATTACCCACACCTCCCAATACCTCGGGCCCCACTAGTGGGCCACAGGCGGTGTCCACGCCATCCACCAGTATTACTAAAGCAAATACGACGACCCCTTCGAGCCGTCCCATCAAAACCAGTCAATTGATAGTCGAAGACAACAACTTAACGTTCAGTCAGTTATGTAACCAAAGATTTGAAACGATTAAACAAATCGCAAACAAACGGACGCCAACCCTGAAGCACATGTTCACGAACCCGACCGCAAAGAATCCCAAACACATCGCTCTGTTGTCCGAAAGTGGCATCAATTTCGAGCAGCCGTTGACTCCGATCCAAGTGGCCGTCAATCGCGCGGAACGCATATCGCGTGAGAAGCAGAAAGCGATGGCTGAACAGCAGTTGGCGGCCCGACAGCTGCAGCAACAGATGCAACAAAAGCAACAACAGAGCACTCAAATCAAGACAATCCTCTCGCAAAACACTAACATTCAGACATCGCAGCAACAGTTGACGCAAGCGATCAGCGCCAAGATGTCGGCCATAAACCAGGCGACGATCACTAAAGGTGTGGCCCCGGGACCCACTACTATGGCTGCGCCTAATGTCACGGCCACTGCTGTCAGTCAATTGAGTCTCAATAAAGCGTTATCTCAAGTGGGCGTCGGTTCGCAGCCATTGCCTCAACCAATACTCAGTCAAATCAATGTAAGCCCACAACAGATCGGCTCCACGACTATCACCAACAAAGATGGCACTCAACAAACCTGTTCTGTGGTCTCGTTGGCTACACTCCCACCTCAGGTACACTCGAAGCTCATGGCAGCCGTGTCTCAACCTGTCAATCAGATCCAAAGCCATCAGATTGGCAGTCGTATGGCTACAGCTAACCCACAAATATATAAACAAATATTTCTTCGTCAACAACAGCACGTCCAGAGACAGCCTCAGCCCCAACACATCCAAATGCAGGCCATTCCCACCCAAACCGCCAAACAATTGCAGCCAAACATTGCTGTCGGACAACAGCCGCGCTTCCAGATTACGGCGTCTGTCGCTCAGCCACAGCCCACGCAACTGCTGATCGGTTCCGCGGGTTCTGTCGGTTTAAAGACATCCCAACCCAATGTTGTGACAACCCTTCCGGTGGCCGTTTCCATGGCTGGAGGCCCGCAGAGGATCACTACAACAACCTCTCAAATCACGGCTTCTGTGGCGCAGTCCTCTGTCCAACCGACACAACTGCTGATCAATACGGCAGGGCTTAAGACATCGCAACCAAATGTCGTCACAACACTTCCCGTTGCCGTCTCCATGACTGGCGGTCAGCAGCGTATGATCACTACAACAGCCAATCAGCTGAACGCTTCTATGGGTCAGCAGTCCGTACAGCCGACGCAACTGCTGCTCAAGACATCGCAGCCAAATGTGACTACACTTCCGGTCGCTGTTTCGATGGCTGGCGGCCAACAGCGGATCACTACAACCACCTCAACAACCGGTAAACCTATGCAGCAGATAGTGACGCGAACCATAACAGACCCTGCTCAGATGGCTCGCTTGATCCAACGCCAGCATCAGTTGCAGCTGCAGCAGGGGTCCGGCAATTTAGGCCAAACCCAGATCCTGGTGCAACAGTCGCCTTCACAAGCGGCCCAATCGTCACAATCTCAGACACAAATACTTCAAAATCCGGTCACTTTTGTCAAGACTATCCCATCATCGCAAGCGTTGGCCACACAGTCACTCACTATTCCCATCTCAATGGCGGGAATGAATATATTCACGTCACCCGTCGCTAAAGCCGTGTCGCCCACAGCGTCCACGAGCGCCACCACCAGTGCGTCCGTGACTGGGGTCCCGGGCGGACAACAGCCTGTCCGACAAATCCAGTTATTGCAGTTGAGGCCATACTTTAAGGCCAACTCCAACACCGACACGAATAACAAGAAATAACTTCACAATGTATTAAATGTATTCATAAACGACACGAAATATGTTATTAATATTACATCTCATGAAATAGTTTATTGTTTTGCAATTCAATGATAAATTAATATTTGAGAATAAAATTGTTTATAATTGTAGTTATTTTTGACGCGTTTTGTCGAACTCTCGCCTCTTTGTCGCGAGTTTCTCGGCTTCTCTGGCTTTCCTCTTCTTCCCGAACATAATCTTGGAATACAAGCGCTTCTTCTTCTTGGGAATCATCATAACTGCCAGACGTTTCTCTTCGCTCTGTTGCTGTTTCTCCATCTTCTCCCTGTCCTCTCGTACTACACGACCCGCGCGCACAGCCATCGACTTCTCGTTCTTCTCAGCAATAGATTTCTCCGAAGTCTTCTGTTTCTTATGTTTTGGCTGCTCCTCAACGGCCTCTTCGTCTGCCGACTCGTGTTCGTCGTTCTCATCGTTCATTGACTGCAAGTTCTTGAGATACTGTCGTTCGGGCGGAACGTATTCACCGTCAGACTCGACCACAAACGGCGATAAATGTGCCGGAAGTTTGGCGCCAATGAAGTACTTCTGAACGGGTAGTAGGAGTTTGGCGTTAACGCAGTCATACACCCATTGCGGCTGAATATAGAATCGGTTCATATATTTTGATTTAATGTCTTCTCTGTCGACGATCTGATGGGTAATCGTCTCGTCGTTCTCGTCAAACGTGGATCCGATGTGAAGCGTCTTATCCCAGGAAACAGTTCCGCCGAAACTCCTGATGACAAACACGAGTGACTCGCGCGGCACCTCTCGATTCAAGAAGAATTTGAGTCCTTTGAATAGGTTCTGGAATTTAGTCAACTGATGGAAAGTCAGTTCCGATGCATTGGCCTCCTCTTCGTTGTCCTCGAAGTCATCAATTTTTGTCAATTGTTCCGAATTCGCAAAATTAGTTAACGGGGTATTCAGTGCTGACACCAACTGCTCGTTCATATCATTGTCTTCCGGATCGGCAATTGATTTGTCAATAATCTGTTCAAACAAATGAAACAATTTTTAAAACTAATTCTCTAAACGACAACAAAAGTGACTCACTTTTGGCGGATATACTAATGATTGACTCGAATAGAGCTTATAATTAATAAACCCCAAAAAAGTGATATAAAATTCGGTGAAAGTTCTCATGACTGCGAAGTCGACATCAGTTATGCGCTGAAGAATAACCAGACATTTGACAATTAGTTACAAATATAAGAGTTCATAAATAATACTTACATCGAAAACAAACTGATGGGGAACTACCCATCGGATAGTCTGGCCATTGAGGTCGGCCTCATAGTAGTAGCCTTTGATCGAAATGAAGACTTTGCGCAAAGCCTTGGTTTCGATGACATAATGCATGAACTCGAGAGTCAACCGACGGCTCAGTTCTATGAGTTCGAGTGGAAGTGCTTTGGATTTACAGAACATGGCGTATAAGAAGCACAGACTCAGGGCGTCGTCCATATCCCTCATCGCGTCCGCAAACGTCGGATATCTTCGGAATACAAGACATCAGTCAGTGATTCCATGATAACTAAAAACTTAAGACAAACCTCTCTCTCACGATATGATCCACTTTATAGAAGGGCTTATTCTCGCGGATCCTTTTTATGGATTCGCTGTCTTTGCGTCCTTTCGCCCGAACCACTCGTTTCATAAATATCTGAAACACATGACAAGACATCAATACAACAGATCCCTTAAGATTTGAGACTCACTTTGAAGTCCCAAAACCTCCAAATGATGGGCTCGTGAGACAAGTATTGGATATCTTTGAGGAGATAATAGGTCTTATGTGTAGAACTGCCGGTTCTGTCCGTCTTCTTCTTGTTCTTGGGTTCGACCGGATATATACCCTTCAGAATACTTAACCTCCTAATGGTTCCCATAATCACACCATTAGTTTGCATTTAAGTTACATTTCGGAAATGATTTGCCATTCAATGGCAACAAACCTGAAGTCTTTTAGCGACAGTTGAAGTTTCCGTATGGCCTGACCCCTGGTCACGAACGCAACCCTTGACCCCCGCTCTCCCTTCTTACGGATTTTGCCCATAATTTCAATGAAATACTAAATTAAAACTAAACCTAAATTAACGCAAACTTTTTGCAGACATTTAACACAAACACGTGTTTCTCATAAACATAAGCCTCAATGCTTTGGTTTAGGGGTTGTGTTGTCATTGCAATCAAAGTTTTTGCGCAGACTTTTAAAAAATACAAAATTCATTGAAAATTTAAAATACTTTTATTTACTTGATTGCAATTAATTCGTTAAAAACTATTTTATAAAACATTTCATTCAAAAGACATGTAATACAGTGATTGATAAGTGATTTATTAATGAATGAAATCTCAACAGATTTACTATCAATTATAAATATAATTCATTATTAATGTTAACATTACGTTAGGGTTTGCTTCACATATAAACTAATGTTTAGGTAAATATTACTATTATTTCGATTTTTAATTAATCAATGATTAGTAGAAATAATTTGAATATAAAATTAAGTCATCGATTGATTGGAGAACTAGTGTACAGTCTATTGAAAAAGAGTGACCAGAGTTTTGGCTGATTTGGCGATTTCGAAGGCACTCTCAATCACTTTCTGGTAAATGAGTCGAAAGTCTTGTTTCATGTGTTGAGGCATTAAACTAATGTTGAGTGATGTCCGGCACTCGACCCTCAACTTTAAGGCACTGCTGTGTAACTGATTTAAAGCCGTATAGATTTGTTCGCCGTTCGGGTGGACAGACATCTCCACGAAAGACTAGGTTTTGGTGACAAGTGTTTCAAAATTAGTTCACAATTTCAAGACATCTATTGATTTGTATGAATACCTCTGGAAATATACTAATCATGTGATTGACTGCGGAACTGATTTTGTCAGAACACGAGTCGAAACTATAATTGAAATAAAACATCGAAATTATAAATGAGTTTATAATAACAGCATTGGATGACATACTTTTGATGCCTTCCCTCCTGTGCCGTTAACAGCAACTCTTGTATACAACGAGTGATTTGTTCCGTTTTCCTGAGAACTTCTTCTTTGTGAGGGAATAGGGATCGAAAGGAGGCTTCAGAGGGAGAGAGGGGTGTGTCGGCAGCGGCGGCGCCAACAAAATGTGATGGCATTTGATTAGTCGATACGATTTGATGCTCTTTTGGAAGACTAGAAATAAATGATGAGTTGTTTTGTGAGTTTTGCTGCAAATTGTTGAGAGAAGCCGACGACTTGGTGGGGGATGTGGGCGTCGACTGCCTCTCATTGATCATAGACTGCGGTCGAGTCGGCATTTTAGGCGCACTTCTCGGCAATATCTCCGGTGGGCTCTCTATGGGACTGCGCCGGACGTCCGCCATAACTGTGGGACTCTTGGGAATGACAACTGCCCTCAACTGTGCGTTTTCGTCGATCAACTTCTGGACCATCACTTGGAGTCGTGTGATCTCATGCCTCATGTCTTGGTTCCCGAGAACCAACTCCTGGATGAGTGTATCTGAACGACTCAACTGATCCTTCAGTGAACTATAATCGTCGGCCGACACCGAACTCTTTGACCCTTTAGTTGAATTCTTATCACTTGTTGACCGAAGGGTTGTCGAAGAGTTTTTGCTAATTTTAAAGCCAAAACTCTTATAGTCTTTATCTTCATCTTCAGAGGGAACTGAATCATAGAGCGGTTCCGAATCGTAGTCAGAACTTCCGTCCGATGTTTGCCTTTGCTTTCGGTTTGAATTGGAAATGGAGAGCGACTTAACGTTATTTGTATTGATTGTCATATCATTGGTTTCGTAGCACTGGAGTCGTCGACGCATTTCGTACAACACATCGACAATGAGTTGCGCCAACTCTTTGCTGTTAAGTCGCGCCAACTTCTGTCGGCCCTGATTTCGGGTCGACGAGAAGTGGGGGTTCACCGGCAGAAAGGGCACCACCTGTTTGTCCGCACTTCCAGTGTGCGAGCCGTTGTGGGTCTGACTCGCGTTGAATATGGCGTCGATCTCTCGCCGGTCGACCTCATCGTACAGATCTCGCGACAACTCTTCGAATATCTTATTCGAGAGGTTCTGGAGTTTGAGTTTCGAGTCGGCGTGCGATCTGTCGTCGCCGGAGTCCACCATTTCTGGCACCAGAAAGTGCTGACCGTTCTTATGGTTAGGCACTCGTCCGCACACGAAGTAAGTCAAGCGATCGCTTAACTCGTATTGGCTTTCGATTAAACGGTCGACAATATCGCCATAATTGGCGTCTTTGGCGTAATCTATTGGTGTCTTTCCCTTGACGTCAACAATGCATGGATTCGCGCCGTAGACTAACAGCAACTCAATCTGCGATATCTGTCCCGCTTTGGCCGCCATATGTAACGGAGAGTTGTATTTCTCGTTATGGATGTAATTGCTGTCAAAGAGTTGAAAACAAGTGTCAATCAATCAAACAAATACTAAACGAATGCCAAAATCACTCACAGATCCGCTCCGGAGGCCAACAGTCGAAGACTTGTCTTAAGGTTTGGTGTTCTGACCGATGAGTGCAACTGTTCGCTGATATCTGTCTCCGACTCCTCTTTATTTGTCGACCGATTAATGAACGATAAGTTCTGATACTTCGAGCGAATGAATTCACTTTTGTTGGGATGGATGGGGTCTTTGGGCGATGGCTTGCGTCTGATCCCAGTCTTACCGGTCAGCGGATCCAGTAATGTGTGCTCCCATATAGAGTTGGAACCACTCCTCTGCAGTTCGGCAATCATTTGCATTTGTGTCGACCGCCAGACGCTCTTCTCAATGGACTTCACTTGCGATATGTGTCCTGAAAACGAGACAATCAATACATGGCGTCAATCAGTGGCAACAGAAACTATGTCTTCGGGTGTTATCATTACGGCCTAAACTGCGGTGAATAAGACAGCAGTCGTCGCATACGAGAACTCCTCTGTTCAGTGAAACCCAATTCGGTTCTGAAGAGACAAATGGTTAGTACGAAGACATATAAGCAGATGAAGACATCACTGGTGGTCACCAACCATTTGTTCCGCAATCGGCACAAACGTCTTGAACGGATCCAATCAACTGTTTAGCCATTGATTTGTTTGAATGCTTGTGTGAATCAACTCGACGTTATCATCGGTGCCAATGGTGTGACAATCCATGCAATGGTGTGTCAGTTGTGGTGACAATAGCTGTCAGACTGTGAGACACATAACTGTCAACAATGACTGCAAACCATAATAAGACATCCAATTATGATATGTTCACAAAACACGTGACATAACCACTCACTACAGTTGGCGTACATTGAGCGCCCTTTCAATAGTGGTTTGCATTGAATGCCTGTTTGTATTGATTATAATTAAATAAATGACACAAAAAACACATTTTATTATTTAATCGCCACTTTTGTGAGACAAAGTGAGGCCTTCACGTCATGCCGTCATATAGTAGATCAGCGTAACAGTGATCAGTGCTACAGTGATCAGGGTCATTGTGGTGATGCCCTTGACGACAACCACACACATGTTCCCATCGCCCCCACCCCCGGTCGCGCGTAACGGTGTTCGTGACTGGCGCTGAGAGGGAGAGAAAAGGCATAAAATAGTGTTGTGTTTGCAGACAATGTGTTGTGTTGTGAGTGTTGCGCACATCTGTGTGTCGGACACGACTCGTGCCCAGCATTGGAGCACTCATTCCAACACTAATTTATGGCCCTTTAGTGTCGCTGTAGAGTAGCTCTCATTCACTTCAATCACATATTAATCACTCGTTTATCGCTATTTGCAGTCAAAAAGCCATTCAAACAGTCGAAGCGATTAATAGACAAACATTTAGTGATTATTATTGCATTGAATGTATGCTTAGAGTCGTTGTGACTGTCATTATGTGTGCCACTCGTGAGTGCGGGTCCGACGCAGACCTGTTGTGGCCTCAAGTGTGATGACCGCCAGTCCTCCTCTGCCACACAATAATGCAATCCATGTCTTCGACGCTGAAGACGATTATCCTTCAAAACCACATGTCTATCACCTATTGATTCAATAATAATAATAACAATACCTTTGATACTAAAACCATATAATAATCTTCGGATCAGTTGTCGTGTCTTTTAATGTCAATACTGAGGGGAACGCGGAAACTGTTATTAGCGGCGGGTCTGGCGGGTTGTGGCGCCGCCGCAGCCGTCCTCCTGAGTGGCCTCAACGCAGAGTCGGATGGATTCAAAGCCCGCGCCGCGAATGTCATCCAAAGCCACTTCAACGACCACTTGGGGCCCAACGCGTCCATCATGTCGTCGACAGCGACCACCAAATGGGACGCCAATTGGGACCGAAGGGATCCCTTCTGTTTAGTGAAACCCATGAGCGGCTCGTTTCGCGTCACCGAAAAGGATGAGAATAAGTATAACGAGAAACTGGAAAAAGCCAAGTCTATGGCCACCCGTCACCTCATACTCGTCCGTCACGGGCAGTACAACCTGAGCGGCGAGACGGACATCCTCAGGACACTGACACCGCTGGGCAGAGACCAGGCCTATCACGTGGGGCTAAGGCTCAAAGACCTGGCGCTGCCCTACACTCGTATCATACAGTCAACGATGACCAGAGCCACAGAGACCGCGAACATCATTAGCCAACACTTGCCTAATATTCCTGTCGACAGCTGTCACTTCATCCGCGAGGGATCGCCGATAAAGCCCGACCCGCCTGTCCACCACTGGAGACCAGAGCCCAAGGTTTGCGTCCAATTCCCTACTCATCGCATCCCTTGTGTTGTGTTTTTTGTGATTATTAATTGCTTTTTATGTTTAATTTATGGCTGAATATAGCAGTTCTTCGAAGACGGCGCCAGAATCGGTATGTAATGTGTTGTGAATTGTGGTTCAAAAGCAAACTAATTGATTGAATGGTTGTGTTTGTGGTGAACAGAGGCTGCGTTCCGGAAGTACTTCCATAGAGCCGATCCCACACAGAAGAAGGACAGCTACGAGATAATGGTTTGTCACGCCAATGTGATCCGATATTTCGTATGCCGTGCCCTCCAGTTCCCGCCCGAAGCGTGGCTTCGGTTTTCGTTACACAACTGCAGTCTCACGTGGATTGCCATCAGACCCAGTGGTCGGGTAGTTGTCTACACCGTGGGAGACATCGGTCACGTGCCGCCCAACAAAATGACCACTACTTAGATTGGCTTCGGTTTTCGTTACACAACTGCAGTCTCACGTGGATTGCCATCAGACCCAGTGGTCGGGTAGTTGTCTACACCGTGGGAGACATCGGTCACGTGCCGCCCAACAAAATGACCACTACTTAGATGACACATACTGTAAGACTACGACAAAACGCTCACAAATTGAAACTATAGATATAAAACTGTTAAACGTATTGTACAGTCGTTTAAAAACACGTTTAATGAGTTAATTGTTGCAATAATTGTATGGAAATAACATATTTGTCGTATTATTATATAATTTTTAATTTATTGAAATTTTAATTTAGTTTGTTTTGCCTCTCTTCTCATTATTTGTGAGTTTCCCCTCATTTACAGAAATTATTTTTAATTATAAGACTGATTGCCATTTCATTGAATACACCGCGATATGAGTCCAATCGATGATAACCTTATCTTAAATCGAAAGTTGAGCCCAAACTCGACAATACTATGCATTCAATGATTATTATTTTGATTTGTCATATTATTTAGTCACTAATTGATTGAGTTATGAAATAAGTTCTGTTATATTATTATTTAGTATTTTTCAAATGTATTTGTGATTTTAAAAGAAGCTCTGATTCACTCAAATTTGTAATAAAAGCGATATTTTATAGAAATACTATTTGTACTTATTTTCAATTCATGATTTACCGTAAGTTATGATTTGTTGTGAAATGAATGAATATTTTTTAAGCTCAAGGAGTGAATGCAATTGCATTGTATGTGTACTTCAATATTGGCCTCAATTACGAGTTTATGTGAAAAAATCATTGAACTGTTGGTCCGAGAGTTTTATGGGATATAACGACCACTCACTCACTTCCCTACCCCTTGTGCTCATCACTGACTGTAATTGAGTGATAAGTATAGTGTAATAAAAACAAAAATAAGCCGAAAAGGCATGAAATTTGATCCTAAATGCAGTGATAATACGTATGAAGAGATAAGTCATAAAAGTTTTCCTTAAAGTAACCAAAATATTCTGCAATACTTGTAATCAAAATGTTTGGATTAACGGCTGTTTTCATTGGAATTGAAGTTTGTTTTGAGTTTTACAGTTAAACTCAACTCTCATTTTATATCACAATTTATATTAAACATCAGATTTGGCTATAAATATGAGACCTAATTACGAGTGTCTCGGCAACTGTTGCGACAAACATTTGCTTAAGATTGAGATTCAAATCAATGTTCAATGTGTTAGAGATTAGCCAAATTGTGCCCAATTATACATTTGATTGCACATAAACTTTACGACAGCATTAGTTTAATTGGTTTTGAATTCATTGAATGTATTTTTGTTATAATAGAAATCATTTGAATGTTTGAATCAATTGAGTTCACCCACAAGGAAATGATAGCCAAAGTAACAGTAATAAGATTTTCATAATAAAAACAAACTCATAATGACTTCTACTTGAAAAACTTTGAGATTAATTATTTGTTTTGAATTTTAAAACTTTTTGTAATCTATTGATTACACTTTGGATGCGATGGCAATGACTTGGCATGTGTTGAGAATTATTGACCCCTTATTGTGACCACAATTTAAACTTCACTGACATTTGGCTACAGTATTGGGAATTATATAACTGTAATAATAAGGTAAGTGTTGAGTCTAATTCACACTGCCAAGTGTTTGTCAACTGATTTATGGGACTTGTCATTTTATGATATAATATTAGCAATCAATTAGTTGAAAATTTATATAACTTTTTTTATCAAACAATAAGAATAAATACTCTGTTATTTTTACGAGTACTGTAGTTATGTTAGTGATAACTGCATGTAGCATGTAGTTATATGCGATAAACTTATTATCAATGAATTAATTTGCAAAGTATTGCACTTTTTATCTATCACTCAATTGGAGACACATTTCAGTGTCAGGCGATCTAAACGTAATGAATAAATAATTTGTTTTAATTTTTACGAATTTTCTAAATTTGTTTTTGAGTGTCTGGACGAACTAATTAAATTCTTACTATAATAGGGTCATGTAATGTATATTGTAAGATACTGTGGTTAATATTTAATGATAAATATGAATTCAATCAAATATAAGATTATTCATTAACATGATGTCATATATAATTTGTATTGTAAGTCTCGGAAACTTATCTAAACTTAATGTGTCTACAAAATGTCTATGGAAAATCTGACTAAAAAGTTTTTTAAATTGTTTATAATTGCATTATAAATTAAAATTGTTTATAAGAGAGATCATAACTTGAGTTCATATTTTGAGTACTTTTCAGTGCATACAATAAGAAATGACATTTCAAAGTAAGAACTTACTACTGTATAACATAGTCTACTATATAGTAATTAACTGTTAAATCTATAATTATATTTCAAGTTATGTTATAACTTTTACTATAATTCTAACTACTGTACAGGCTTACAGTAAGTGTATTCAGTTATCATTATTCTAGTTTTGGTTTAAAATTATTGCTCAAAGCGTTGAGAAATTATTTCAATTTTAGTTGTGATCTCAAAAGAATTAATGGATATTTAATGAGTGAAATATTAATTACATTTTTATGTAAACAATAAATACAATGTTATATCAAATAAAATAATTCTAATTTAAAGAATTGCTTTTCAACTGAGAGTTTGAGATCATTTATAAGTCTTATGTGAAACTAATTTCTTCAAAGCTCTCAATTGATTGAAATCCTTGTTTTTCTTCATCAGAGAGTTCCTTATTTAGTGGTCTGAGAGCCAGGAGTACGGCATAACCGACCGCTTTGGCTGCATTCAGCTCTATATACAGTATAATAGGGTTCAGAATATATTAATTTTACAAAATAATGACTAAAACATTGAATACCATTAGGATTATCCGAAATAAATAAAATATTTGTCGGATTAATATTAATATTTGTGGCGATCATTGAAAAGCTATCATATATTGTCTTCGGGCCATAACTCTCGACATCCAGAAAGTCTTCAATGAGCTATAGTTTTGGTAATAAATTAATGATTGAATCAATTGTATTGTGGATTACATACAGGCGTTAGATTTCCATTCAGTGAACACGAGAACAACAATTTCTGTGTCAGATATACTCCCGAAGAATACAAATAGATTTTTATATTCAGAAAGTTATGCCATTTATGGAAAGCTTTTGAGACGTCTGGGAAGACATGTCCCTTTAGGTCTCCCTTTTGGTATCCATAGAGCCAGACATACATCTGGAAGTGCTGTAAAGCCTTACCAACTCTTTGTCTGTTCATCTGAGTGATGATGTTATTGACCACACTTTGGATAATCACTGAAAACAATACATCCATTAGAATATCATTCAATACTCAATGTCTTGAGTCTGTATACCATCTCTACTCTGATCTTTGGTCGCAATCTTTGGAACTGTGGATCAAAATCAAGAAATTAATGATAAAATTGATAAATATTTAGAGAACTGAAGACATACTGTCAGCGCCTTCTCTATTGGCTTCGTTTGTACTGTTCCTGAGGTTATCGATGAGATTCATGAGAAGAGGTGTATCCCATCTACTCTTCAAACACTTATGAGTACTGAACTTAATATAAGGAACCAATTTTTGTCCCCAATATTTGACTGAAGTAGTGGTTCCCTCGATGTCA